GGGACACTCTTGTAGGACACTCTTGTAGGACACTCTTGTGGGTCACTCTTGTAGGACACTCTTGTGGGACACTCTTGTAGGACACTCTTGTGGGACACTCTTTTAGGACACTCTTGTGGAACACTCTTGTGGGACACTCTTGTAGGACACTCTTGTGGGACACTCTTGTAGGACACTCTTGTGGGACACTCTTGTGAGACACTCTTATGGGACACTCTCGTGGGTCACTTGCGGGACACTCTTCTGGGACACTCTTTCAGGAAACTCTTGTGGGACAATCTTGTAGGACACTCTTGTGGGACACTCTTGTAGGACACTCTTGTGGGATACTCTTGTCGGACACTATTAAGGGACACTCTTGTGGGACACTCTTATAGGACACTCTTGTGGGACACTCTTGTGGGACACTCTTGTAGGACACTCTTGTAGGACACTCTTGTGGGTCACTCTTGTAGGAAACTCTTGTGGGACGCTCTTGTAGGACACTCTTGTGGGACACTCTGTGGGACACTCTTGTGGGACACTCTTGTGGGACACTCTTGTGGGACAGTCTTGTAGGACACTCTTGTGGGACACTCTTTTGGGACACTCTTGTGGGACACTCTTGTAGGACACTCTTGTGGGATACTCCTGTAGGACACTCTTAAGGGGCACTCTTGTGAGACACTCTAGTGGAACACTGTTGCGGGACACTCTTGTGGGACATTCTTCCAGCTCCCACCTAAAGTTGTACTACAAGGTCGCCAGTTCTCACCTTCCACCTCCATAGATTGCTTCGCGTACGAAAGTTGTACTACAAAGTCGCCAGTTCTCAGCTTCCGGCGCCGGACAAATTGCACTCTCGCCTGCATTTCGCGCACTCGACACGCACGATCTCCGCAGAGGGTGGTGCGGGCACCGGACAAATCGCACTCTCGCCTGCATTTCGCGCACTCGACACGCACGATCTCCGCAGAGGGTTGCGCGCGCATGGGACAGATCGCACTCTCGCCTGCATTTCGCACACTCGACACGCACGATCTCCGCAGAGGGTTGCGCGTCAAGTCTCCAAAACGAGCGTTTCGTTCGAGACTTCCTCAAAAACTCACACGTCAAAGTCTGCAAAACGAGCGTTTCGTACGAGACTTCCTCCAAAAGTCAAGCGGAAACACCCATCGGAGCACACACACATCACGCAGCCCTGCCAAGCACACGCCAATCCCAATGTGACAGCGACATTCACCTCTAATTACCACAGCTCACAACCTCACGATTCCCTGCGCCTGCCATGAATCTTTCCGCGTCCACACGTCCAACGCGCACAAAGTACTGCACCTTTCACGAAATGTCACCTCCGTCACGCCTCGCAACCTCACGATTCCCTGCGCCTGCCACGAGAATCGCACTTCCACGCCTCAAAGCCCGCACAAAGTCCTGCGCCTGCCACGAAAAGTGACAATATCATCTCATGTGAGCTTCAACAAAATTTGCACCACACCACATGTTTGGAATGATTTTCGACCCGTTCTGAGCACACTCCCATCCACAAAAATCGCCATTTCCGCTGAGACTTGTCACGAAAACCGAGCTTCGATGCCACACCCTGAAACGCAAATCCCAATGGCACGGCCACATCCAACACCCCAAAAACACGACTCTCCAAACGCTAATCCCAATGGAACTGCGCAGCAATCTGCGGATCTCACAAAACGCTGCGCCTGTGCAGCGAAATGCATCACGTTTCTTGCGCGACATGTCATTGTCATGCAAATCACAATGGAATAGCGGCGCAAACTGACACGTGACACATCATTGCAAAGTCACTTGCAAAAGCTTCCCCCAATGGCAGCGAATTTGAGACGCAACGACGACGACAAACGACGACAAACGACGACAGACGACGACAAACGACGACAGACGACGAGACGACGCAAGCCATGCAAACATAGCTCCAACCCCCAGACCCCCAACTATAAACGGGAACCCTTCGCTACGCATTCGGGAAAAAGGAAAACATTGAAGTCCTCCAAACATGTTCAGTCCTCCAGACTCCATCCTTCACATGAAAAACACCATCCTTCACACATCCAACTCAGCTTACTCTGCTCCTGGAGATGACCATGTGCTTCAGGGACACCGCGCTGCTCCAGCGGCGCTGTCGAGCCCAGCACCTCCATCCTCGAAGTGGTTTTCGGCACCGACGGCGCTGGGCGAGTTTATAGGTTGCTGCTTCTCATTATGTAATTAGATATTTTAGTAGGATATACGTATAGTTTTTAACTTGTTCTTGGGCCCTTTTTATAGCACCAGCCACATCTCTGCGAACAACACACTCAGCTCAAACATGCTTCTAAGATCCCAGACACTCCGAGGCCGACGTCCATCTGGACCGCCAAGTCCTCCTTCACCTCCTACAGTTTTGCAGCTGGTGGACTGACATCACATCCCTAACAAGTCCCGAACAGGTCCCTACTAAGCATGGCCCTCGCAAGCTCCTCACCTCCTCTTCCTCATCATCCGAGCCAGAGTTCGCCGGAGGAATCAACACTTCCTGGCATGGGAGTAGGCCCTGACCCTCCAACTACCTGACTACCTCATCCTGACTGAAAAGTGAACCTACATGAACCTACACCTGCTCAAACTGTGTTCGCCTAAGCCCTCAGCCCTCACCATCTCGTTGATCGCTTCCCCAGTTCCCTCACCCCACCGGCACATCAGGCACGGCCACGATCTCCGGATCGCATGACGGGCCGCTGGCCCTGCTGGCCCCGCAGTCGACCGCGTTCTGCGCGAGGAAGGCGCGGACCGAGGAGAGGGCATGGCTCTCCTATCGGCTGCAGACTCCCCACCCTAGACTCCAAGTCAACTCATCCAGAGTCCAAGATGTTCCAAATACCGTACGTACGTATGACGGGTCCTTAGAGATACCTTAGTAACTTCGGGTGGTGGGATCCTCGACGGAAACGGGCCGCAAGTGGGCTCCTCTGTGCTCTAAGAGGGGGTCCATGAAGGAAGTGGTTCTTTAGCTTAACGGGCCGCAAGAAGTGGATGACTAATATGATGGTCAGAACATGTCATATATGAAAGCCATGGGAATTGCCTTGTGCATGCTGCCTCGCGCCAGAAAGGGATCGTGTGAGCACTGTGCCATGTGATCATGGAGACAGCCAGGCTGTCACCTCACGGCAATGGCTCTCCATCGACATGCCAAGAGCCAAGACTGTCCCATTGTATTGGCCAGGCCAGCCACTATGAAGGATGTGGTCGGAATGAAGGGATTGCATCAAGGGGAAAGAAATCGTGGTAGACGATGCATAGACTGCTTTTTCCTGTTCCGATTTGGTTTTTCTTCAAATCCATTAGTATAGACAGGACAGGCACGCTCGTCAGGTGCGCGCATGCCATGAAGAGCACGAGGTTTGTTCTTGGCAAGCTGGAAAGGTGTCAGTCAGCGATGCACAGAAGAAGCTTGGATACTAAGGCAACCATCCTAGAAAACGTAGCAATTAAGATAGTGACTGTACATATATATATATAATATACAGTAGTAAGTCCGCACCACCTGCGACTCCCTCACAAGAACCGGCATGAACAAACCCAAAACAGCGAGAACACTGCCAACCCACAGTAAGTTTGGGAAAGGTGCTTTGGCGCACGCGGCTCGTCGTGCCCCTCGTGGTGCAATGGAAGTGGGTCAACACTTGATGCCTGTGTCTGTTGGGCTCACGGCCCTTGGGCATGGCTCCAAAGGCAGGATTCCCCAAGCATGACATAACTTTTGGTGAACCAATTTGGTAAGTGCTGTTTCCAACCCACTGTCCCAATGTCCAATCCCATGTTCATCCCCAAGTCACCCAGTAGCCTCCGACTCACTAACATCGGCTTTGTGGAGTGGTTGTCCACACCTGGACAAATAGAAGTGACCCGAGTCTGACCCAAAAGTCTGACCTTCCGTTTCCACTTCCAGACATCGGTCGTTCTTCCGAACCGTTCCTCCAGTGGTCCAATCCGCGGCTTCTTCGCATCGCTGCGGGCCTTCTCCGCCTCGGTGCGTTGGATCGAACGAAGCATTCTGAAACAAGTGCCACGCTAGTAGTAACAAGTGCCTTACTAATAGTAACAAAAAGCTATTATTATTAAACATTAAAAATATAATAATAGCTTCTTGTTACTAGTAAGGCACTTGTTACTAGAAGCGATGCACTTGTTACTACTAGCTTCTTGTTACTTGTCATATGAATCATATGAATGATGTATGTATGATGTGTATCTAAGTACCAGCATCCTGGAATCCTGTCTGGGTGTTGTGGCTGGACTACCCCACCCAGACAGGATGGTGGTATAGTAAGAACCCAACCCAACTAGCGACCCAATGATGCTTTGATTCGCTCCCAAACTCTGAATGTGTAAAAGCTAGACAAAGCCGTTCTGGTGAGGCTGAATGACATCAGAATCATCATTCAACAAATTCAGAACATCTCCCAGATTTCAAGCAGCGATGTTGTGCTGAGCATCCACGCGGGCTCTTCGATGGGATTCAACAAGAGGAACTTTGGCTTGTCAGGATCCAAATCCAGGCGTTCCATTTCAGCTGCGATCCGCCCAAGATCTTTGGCGCGGCTTGATATAGGGGTGTTGATGTAGCGGGCGTTTGTGAGCGGAAGGTGTTTCGAAACCGGAAGCTTCGGTTTGGTGCGAGTATGGGTATGGCATGAGTCAACCTTCTGTGTGGGACGGTATGACTATGGGATCGTTGGCAAGCCTCTAGGGGCTGTAGATTGTTCAAGCATGTTATAACATGTTGTAGATCAGTTCAGCTTCTGTGCTGCTTCAGAAGGACAGAAACGTGCGTTTTTTTTTAAAGAAGGCTGGGCAACGTGTCGGTTTTTGATGCGTCGATCTGTTGGGCCTGAGTCTTTTGACTTCGTGTCAGGAGTGGTACAAGGCACGTGGGCGGTTGTAGTCAACTTCTACGGGGACTTCTCAGAAATGTAACATTTAATTTATGGTTGTTCTTGTTCGTCTGTTGGATGTGAAAGTTGATGCATTGAGCCAGATCCTTCACATGTATTCACATGTGATATAATTAATATATAATTCACAACCATATAAGCTCCCATCTGCTTTCAGTTTCTGGCTTCTCCCAGGCTCTTCATTCGGCTGGCAGCTTCTCGGGTATACAGGTAGGGACTTCCTCCAGCAACCAAAAGCCGAAGACCTGGTCATTGGCCCTTTCCAGGACCTCCAAAAACTCAAGATATCTCAACTGAGGGCTCAAGTCGACCATTTCTCGGTTCCATTGTCGGACTTTTGACCTGGACGATGCTGCTGTGCGAGCGCTTGGAAGGCGGGGATCGGCGATGCCATCCACCGACCAGCTGAGGTATTCGATTGACTTGGATGGTGGGCCCTGCTTGGCTTGGTGGAGCCAAAGACAGGATATTGCAAGGGCTTTCTTGAAAAACAAAGAAATGCATTGAAAAGGGCTGAAATGTAGCTATTTGGAAGACTCAGACAAGTTTAGGTCTGTTCAGTCTGGGGGTGTGTTTTTTCAGCTTTGGTCAACATCGACAGGGCCACCGGAAAGGGACTCTCTCATAAATGTATTTTGAAAAAGGAAAGGCGTCTGCCCAACCTGTTTGTGCGCCATCTTGCATGGTGTTCTTTGCAGTTACAAGACGAAAACCAGCCTTTCTTCGACAGAATCTGTTCGTTCTTGAAGTTGTTTGTTTGTTCGTGATCCGATATCTGGGAGTACAGCTTCAAAAAGATTCGAACAATGCACCGTAGGACACCGAAGGTAAGCATGAGTGCTCCAGGCACTTAGACCATGCGGTCAAAGCACTTAGGTTTATGGATTTTGACACCAAGCAGTTCACAATGATGTAGTTTAGCATGTTCCAAAGAAAGCGCCAAACTGGTGTGAATGGCAGGCATGTGCCAGCATGGATGGTATGCCCACCCGCAGTTAGCTGGGCATGACATTCATCTGCCATGTCCGAACGTGCTGGAAGCGTGGGCCTGTATATGTTAGGAGGCTGACTGGCAAAAGAGTAATAAGTAATAAGTTGCTTCTGGAGTGGCTCTGAGGCCATTCACTAGGAACAAGAGGACACTAGGAACAAAGCGCTACTAGGGGCTCCTGGCCTTACTAGGAACAAAGCCAAGAAAAGTGCCCTGCCTCCCCCACCCGTCCTTTGGTCAGCTTCGTGGGGGGGCTATTAATCAAGAGTACTACATTAAACCATCCATAGCTAGTGATTTTTGCCCGTGGCTTGTTGTGGCTCACTTGCTTTCCGGACCTTTCCGTCAACCTGGAGCCTCTTGGATAGAGGGTAGCGGACCAGTCCACATGTCCAACGAAATGGCGACCTGGGCTGAAGACCTGGGCCCTGGGAGTTGTAACATGTTGCAACCACCTGAGCATTTCGGTGCGAACCCTGGCTTTCAAAGCTGAAAGGCTGAGGTAAGAAACTGGTCTGGCATTCGCACAAACAGCGAAGGGTGTTCATTCGGACGCCGGTGGTGCTTCTTCAGGAAATCAGGCCGTAAATCCTTTCTGCCGCTTCCGCCGCAGAAGGCCTCCAGCGCGGCGACCCAGTGGAATGCGACTGGGCGATGAGACAATGGGAAGGTTGAGCCAAGCTGGATGTGGCCCCGCCTAGATCTCTGAGGCTCTGCCCTGTGCTGGCCTATGAAAGTCAAATTATGACAGTGTCGGCACCTGCAACCCCCCAACCCCGCCAACTCATGCGAACAGGCCATGGCTCAAAAATAGGGTCCCCCTCAAACTACCCCCAATGGATGGAAACACATTACTAACACCTGCAGGTTCACTTGTCTTAGTTGCACCACTCTGAACCAGCACAGGCACCCAGTTAAAAAGAGGCAGTTGAGTACAACTGACTGACCTCTTTGGTCCTCTCTATGGCATTCTAGGGATTTCTAGGGAAACGTTGTGACATGACAATCCCCACGTCTCCGAAAGCTCCCAGTGTCCTCTCATCAGCATCTTCTTGCCAACAAGCCTCACGTGGGTGTGCAGCTATGCCGGAGCATCAGGCCATTTCACCCACGGGGTGACTCAAGTATCCGTGCGACTGAAGAAGTTGAAGGGCGACTGCATGGCCCGACACAGGGATCCTACCCCTCTTGCACTCCCTCTTGAACATCGTCGTTCATCCAGCATCATGGGTACGTACCCAAATTCAAAAATCCTGCCACCGCCTGAAACATTCCATAATGGTCGGCATCTAAGTGACTCAAACTGCTGGAAACACGGCAGACTTCATGGACCATCATCAAGTTACTCAACATCTCAACTGTTTTATTCTGCGGGTTCTTCAACCGTGAGGTGTTTTCAACGTTAAACACCAAGGGTGGCCCCCCGGAGTGTTCTGCGCACGAAGCTTTACCGTGGAGACACAGCACCCAGGTCCATCGGTTCGTTTCAGGACACCCATCTTGACCGAGTTCGTCAGGAGTTCGCTTGGCTCCCGATCTCCGGTTTGCTGTGCCTTGCTTTAGGCACGATTAATAACAAGAAACTACTAGTAGCGATGCCCTTAGCTACTAAGTAGTTTCTAGCTACTAGTCGTAATGCCAGGAACTACTTGTAGTTTCTAATTGAACTATGGCGAGGGATGCGTTTCCGGCATTTCCCCATCGCGGCCAGGAACGATCTCGGCTCGCTGCCCAAGCCTCCATGAGGGCCCAGACCACTCCAATCTGCTCTTCACCTGAGAAGGTAAGGCGAAAGCAGGACACTTACGTTGTTTCTCCGAGGTTCCTGGAATGTACCACGTGGATTCCTTGCATCAAAAACAAGAAGACTGTCAGAGGTGTCCGGGTCAAAGCTTCCAACCCTTTCCCAGCTTGAAGCAGACAAAACCTGAGAAAGGAGGGGACGAAAGCCAGCCCTTCAAGCAGACCACCGCGAACATATTTTTTCAACGTATTTTCTTTGCAGCTGCTTGCCCAAGAGAGAGCACTCCTTTGTTGGTGCCGTTTTTCTTCACCAAAGCCGTGACAAAACGATCAAAAGGGCACCACCACTGGACCACACATGCCCTTCAAACAGACCGCAAACATAGTCTTTTAACGTACAGTATTGTTTACAGCTACTTGGGGAGACCTAGCTAGATCCTAGAAGATACAACTGCTTTGCTGGTGCCCCTTTTGTCTTCCCGAAAACCACAAATCAACGAAATAGGTCAAAGCAAAGGACGAGTGAAATAGCGGTTGGTCATTCAGCTAGGTTTTCCTAGACTACCGCGAGTTACCACAGTCTAAGAAGTCATGTGGGGGGTGCCCTTTTTTAGCGTGAAAAGGTTCCAAAACCGAAAAGAAGGGCACCCAATAGAACGGTGAATGTCCAAGGTTGGAAGTGAGACTCTCTGTTTGTACAAGAGCCTGGGGCACAACGAAATGGGCAGTCCCCGACCCAGCAGCCATACTCGCCAACTCATACATATGATATATATTTTTTTTTTTTTGGTTCTATCCTATGACCAGCAACCGTGGCTGAAGGTTAGTAAAGGCTTTGTGTAAAGGCATACAAAGAGCCCTATATCATACCGAACTCAATGTGAAAGCTTGCGTATCTCTGCCTTCTGTTTGCCCATGGCAAACCACCTCTTAGACCAACGGCGGCGCAGTGGTCTTTACAGCGGTGCCTGCTTGCAGGTTGCTATCTTTACAGCCCCCGTCCATGTTTGCTGAAGCATACACACAACTAGACCGACTGCCTGGCCATTTTGTGATGCTAATGACGCAGTATTCAAACATTTGAGCAACTCGCATCACCAAGGCTTTATAAGCATGGTCCAGTCTCCCAACTCACCCCCCCACACCCCGTAATACTCACTTTGTTCGCCCATCAAGCACTCCAGCCTAGCCGATCGGCTGGCTTTCGAATAATTTACACAAACATGAATATGAACATAACAAACAAGTCGCAAGCTATCGAAGCGTGCATGTCTCTTAGTCTTGTAATTGGTTTGACATACTTCTACCAAGTAGCGAGCCATGAAGGAAGTAACGTCCGACCTTTGGAACTCCTCACGGTCGTTCCACCTCCGTTCCGTTTGTTTCGTTCCGGGTGTCTTCCCGAAGGTGTGGTGCCCGGCTGAGGCTCGTGTCGACAAAGAGCTCTTCATAGGGTGGACGGTGTCCTCAGTGTGACACTCTTGAGTTTGGAAGCAAAAGGGGTTTGCTGGGTTTTCCATGTGATGCAAGCAGGTCTTTTTGGGTTTACTGGGAGTTGTTTGTCTTTTTTTGGATTTCATCGAAGAGACGCTTCGAGGATCAACAATCCTAAACACATGCTCTCTCAACTACCCCTATTGCTAGTGTACAGTACCAGGGTTGCCCACAGGTGGAGGGCGCCAATACTGAGAAGGCTTCCAAAAAGTCTGAACCCTTTTTGCAAATCACAGGATGAGAGAGAAAAGAAAGTGCCCGCGGGGCAGCAAAAAAAAAACATCTGAGTGCTACCGGAGAGGCCACCCAAAATGGCCAGGCAAAGGGATGCTTCATTGCGGCTTTGGAAGGGAATATTTCCTCGCCAAGACGAAGCCCCACGTCACCGGGGTTTTTCGGTGGTTCGGATGGGAGCAAAGAATGGCCTCCAATGGCTTGCAACCTAATTGTAATGGCCTCCAACCTACTAGCGATGGCCTCCAACCTCTACTCTGAAACCCTAACAAGAAGGTCAAAGAAAGTACCCCTTCAGCCATCGCTATATAGAGTTTTAGCTAGGGGGCGGCCTATGTTCGTTTGGGAACGAAAATGCATAGCCTGCATTAAGATGTGTGTCTTGGAGAGGAATGGAATGGGAGAAAGCACTGAAAAAAAGAAACACATGGTTTTCACATATCATGTATGCCTGACTATATGTTCCATTATCGTATCATTTGCACCACCAGGTCCATGAAAGGCAAACAAACGAGTCCTCTCAACATTTGTGTGTTTTTTATTTATATGTTTCATGATTGCGTCATATGCATCAGCTGGTTACAAATGTATAGTTTTTTATGGCATCATACGCATCAACTGGTTGCAACTGGATAATCTATTGCACAAAATGCCTGCGAGTTAATACAAGTGGGACACCCTGAAAAATGTACAATTTCAAAGGGGTCAAAAACTAGATCCAGCAATGCTTGCGATTTGTGAGAAGGACATAGCTAAACAATTCGCAACAGGGTCCCAAAAAAGGAGTGATCATAGAGACTTCATATATTGTGCTCATCCACTTCATGCTGCGTTCGTCTCTAAGTCTTGTGTCGACCATGCACATTGTATAGCTTATTGGATATATTCACTCTATCATTCGACCCCCTTGACATTGGACGTTTTTCAGGGGGTCCAAGTTGTACTCATGTGCAGGCATTGTTGGATATATTCTGGGCCCTGAGAATGTACAACTTCAATGGGGTCGAAAAAACATATCCAATGATACTTGCAAGTTGTAAGTCAGACATAATTAGGCAGTTTGTAAGAGGGTCCCAAAATAGAGTGATTTTATATATATATACACATACTTCTTTTATTAATCCACTTCATGCTGCGTTCATCTATCAGTCTTGTCTCGGTCATGTATAGTTTATTGTGCACAATCACTCTATGTTTCGACCCCTTGAAAATGTACAATTTCAACAATACTTGCAAATTGCAAGTAAGACATAACTAAACAGTGTATCAAAGGGTCCAAAAATAAGGTGATTATAGAGACTTCTTTTGCCGTCTCTCTGAGAAACCCTGGTGCGGGCGGTTGTCATCGCGAAGCGACCCGAATGTCCATGCGACCTGGGATACATAGTCCGTATGTATAAGTCCTACGAATTGCATCAGCAAATAGTAGTCGATGCTCAAGATCGCATCGCGCCGGTTTTATCTATCACATACAAGGCTGGATGTAGAGCCCGAAATACAAGGCGGTGCCAGATCGGCAGGTCCCTGTCCTGACATTAGCTCATGCAGCAAAATACTGAAGGAGAACATGTCTGCCGTCACATTGTACTCACCTGAGCATGGTGGCAGATACTGGAAGGTGGAAAACCTCTTGTGACGCTGAATGAGGTGAATTCTAAGGTGTCTAAGGAGGTGTCTCTCCGAGTGCAAGATCTTCAAAAGTTGAAGAGCCATGGAGGACTATAAGTCGATGGAAAAAGTGCAACAATGGTTTTGATGACCTGTCGGGGGATGGAAAAGCCTCCAGATGCCGGCTCCGACACGGCATAACTGCATTGAAAAAGGTTCACCTCCAGGACATCTTGAAAAAAAAGGTATACCACCCGCGCTGTCGGGGAACTCTGTTTTTTTCCTTGTTCAGCGTTTAAAAACCGTTGGCTCTGGAATGGACGGGTTGAATTTCCATTATTCATGAATCCTACCACCCACAACCCCAAACACAGCTGCGCCGTGACATGACATCGCCATCGAAAAGGAGCCATGACATGACTCGGTTTCAGTCCTCAGCCTCCGAGCCCGAGTTCAGAACCTCTGGTGCCATATAGCGCAAGGTCCCGACCCCCTGCCGGTCCGAGCGAAAGCTTTCGCTTTCCAAGTCGGGTGATGAGCCGCTGCTGAGCAGTCGAAAGAAAGGACATGCTGAGCATAGCACGGCTGCCGTGCGGCTAGGGCTCGCTAAATGTGAAATGCACATCACCCACCATGCATCTCATGCCAGGGAAAAGAGTAGTAAAACGTGCGTGGCCAAAACCATGATGGAAACATGTTTAAAAGTTAAATGCGGCGTTCAATTGCAAAAATTATGGAAGAAAGAATTCAAGATTGGCCGTCCAATTGCCCAACGCGCAATGCACAAACTACTCTCACCATCACAGTCTCCAACAATACCCACAAGCAAGGTGGAGGTGGTCCTGAAATATCTGTTGAAAGCTGGTGGTTTGAAGTGAAAGTGATGAAAACAACCCAAACCCAAAAACTGCTAAAAACGCAAGACTCCGATAAACCAACAGGGAAACTGCCAGAAGTTTTGCAAACATCGTTGAACGGTATTTCTCGGATCTTTGGAGTCAAAACTGCCATCGCCGTGTCCTCGGTGAAAGTCCTCGCTCTTCGCCTGCGTCATCGCATCGTAATCGCTCAAGGGCCGGGCGAAGCCCATGTCGCCGACTTTGACCTGAAAGCGGCTAAGAGAAGGCGAGACGAAATGGCGGATGGAAGACGGATAGCGACTTCAAAGGCAAGGAACTGAGGGCAGGAGATGTATCTGCAAATTGGGGGATCAAATGTATCTGTGCTCTATGTTTGCTTTACGTATCTCTTTATTAACATATGTACTTACGTAACTTACGTATTTATGGTATATTACATGTGTGTGTGTGATTGTGTGTGTGTGTTGCAAACGGTCTGTTCAGTCGGTACCTTGGAACAGCTCCAATTGGACAAAGGTTTTGTGCATCGGGAGTTGAGGACTTAGAAGGGGCTGAATCCGTAGCCCCTTTTTGAACATCAGAAGCGGTGAAAAGAGCCACTACTTTGTGCAGGGGAGAATCCCCAGCTACTGGGTGTCGGTCGCATGTATGCTCTTGCTTCCATAGGCTGCAGTTCGGTACAGTTGGGTTCATGTCTGCATTGCCGGAAATCGATCGGCGCCTAAAAAGCACAATCCTTTCGCAAAAGGCTATCACTGTCCTTTCGCGGACACAGTTGTGCCTTTTGCAGGCATAGTTTGTTGTCTACTATATTCCTTTCGCGGTACAGTACCTTTCGCGAGAAAGGTTTCGAACCAACAACAAACGACTAATTGAGTTCTACGGTATTTAAAAATATTTAACACTTGGCCTGAACGTCATCCAAAATGATCTTTCGCATCTTCCGTGAGCAAGCATGCTTGTGTTCCATCCTTCACAAGCTTTCGCAAAAGGCAGGATGACCGTATAACCAAAAGCTCTATATACTATAATATACTGTAAGGCGTAAGGGTTTTTGATGTAGCTCAATTTGTGTCAGTCTTTGGGGAATCAGTGAGAAGATCTGAGAAGCATCTTGCAAACACCTCTCTTCAGGTCAAAGCCCCTCCAAACCGAGCTCGGCCACGCCGACACCACTCTCCACGTCTACAGTCGCCAGTTTCCCTGAGGCCCAAACGGTGGGCAGCGCTTCGCCCTCCTTGGCCAAACCCGGCACCATCCCGTCCCACCCGCAACGCGGGGGTTGGATTGGCCACCGGGTGACAAGACATGAAAAACGAGCATCGACACCAAAGGCCGAAGGTCAACGTTTGATTCGACTTCAGATTCGACGCAAGAACTGTCATGCGCCACCGAGCGCCAAATGAGCGCCAAACTTTGGAAGAGATGACTTCCTCTCCGAAGATGGTGACCATCAACCCAGCTTCACAGACGGTGCAGGGGCGCACGATGCACTGATACATCCCCCAGTCGTCACTCGCAGATCCGATTCACCCAGTCACCATCCGTAGGATGCACCGTCACATGCGTCACATGCGTCAAATCAGGTGTGACTCGTTATCGGATTTGATCGGATTTTATAGGTGGTCTTCGTTGGGAGAGTGTCCGACAGAATCACGCGCCGGGACTCCTGTTTGACACTGCACTCTGTTCAATGGACCATGGCACCAATGAAGGATTCAGTGTACTGTATAACGTCTTATCATACGAATTCATACGATATATGATTCAATATCAGATTCATGTCCAAATGAGGTCCGTTATATCACATATGTTTTCTCCAAAATCGCCCATCAAACCCTCGCCCATCAGCGGCCCGAACCACGATGGGAGTGTGGAGGAAAGCGTTCCTGCCATGGAAGTCGGAAGCGCTTCCTGCGCTTCAGTCACTGTGCATGGATAGTTGGAGCCACCCCAAACACCGCTCAGCTTGAGCAAGGTCCGGGCACGATTTCAACAAGAACCACGGTGAATCAGATGGTGCCATTCTTTTCGCTCTACTGCATTTGAAGGAGAAGTGAGAAGCCAGAGACGACCAAGGCCGCCATTTTCTATTTGTGCCATACCTGGGACAGGTCACACGGATCATGTGCTCACGGGTTGAAGCTGGGAGCCGCTAGTGCAGATGAACATGCTTAGCCTTTTGACGTGCACAAGTGCATGCCAGGGGATAGAGAAGAGAAACCAAAGAAGGGCATCTGACATGGTGTGAGGGAAACCCCTTGTAAATCCTCCGTTGTGGAAGAAACGATCTCTCCCACCTATACCGTTCTTCTCGCCGTTCGCCTCGAGCGATCACCCCCCCACTCTCTCTCTCCCAACATGACAGGCACACCCCGACTTGATATCACGGTGCAGGACTCCCTGGCGCTTTCGACGTTCGGTGCCCACAACTCCGAGTTCTGGTGATCACCGGTGATCACACAGAACTAAGCTCCCAGAACCGGTTTTCTCGCCAAAAGCACGGATTAGATCTGTTTGCTGGTGGATTTGTTCATGTCGGATGGCATGGTCTAATTTTAGACGTGTCTCGTCGCAGGGGCTTTCTTCCAGATTCTTGGGCGGCAACATGTCGCACCAACTGGGACAGGACGCAGGGGCCCTCGGTGACCATGTTACACTCCGGAAGACTGTGACTCGGAAAGATGGTTTTCCTCTACAAACCGGCTTTCAAGGCCCATGTCAGTTTTCCACGGGGTAAATGTATCTGGCAATCATGCCTTGACCAATTTAGACGTCTGCCCCTGCACACGGTACCGGCAAGGAAACGCTAACACAAGGAGTTTGACTGTCCTTCCGTCATGTCCAATCAATCTCTTTTGGTCTTGACCTCCAGTTCGGTGCAGACTTCTGACTTCTTCGGTCCCCACCTGACCACCTCAGGTGGGCTCTGGTGGAGTAGTTCTATAGCATCACTCCCACAGAATAGTTGCTCTTCTGGCTGGATCCACTGCCGGCCCCTTTAAGCATGGGAAGGCTTGATCAGGAAACCCAGATGTTTGGTCGGACTTTGGAAATGAACAAGTTCAGTCAAGAGTCAAGAGCGATTCGATTTCGAAAGCAGCCCCAGTAAAAGTGGCTGCACCTGCTGATGAATATAATCCAAGGCCAACAAAATGTCATACCTCGGATCTACGAGGCGGCCGCCGCTCAACTTATGAGAAGAAGTCAATGCACTTGTTTAATAGACTCCTCTCCAATCAAATCTAAACAAGGTCAAACTCGCCCGCTCTCAAAATCATACACATCATCGAAACGAACTCCACTTGCAAGTCTTGCACTGGGCTTTCCCAACCCACCGCGCAGGCGATAAACGCTTGGCACGGACTCCCATGGGCTGTCCTCCTTGTGAATGACGTCCTGAAAAGCCATCGGAATGGCTGTTAGGCATCGGATCTTCTCCGGAAGATCACATCTCCGGACACACGGCGTCCGGACCGGGACGCATCGGGCCGGGACAGGGCTCCGGACGCGAACGAGCCGATCGAAAGCGAGGCGAACGAGGCGAGTCCGCTGACGTCGTTGGTCCGAGTTCAGGAGGGCACGACGCGCGAGTCTTTGGGATGTAGAAAGTGACGGGTGCGACTCTCCGAGTGAGTGAAGTAGAGCCTTTGGTGAGACCTGCCTGGATGGACATGTTGGGAACATGTCTCCGCCACGAAATGCTTGCACTTGTTGATGCGTGGCGGGTGTGGGGGTGATCTGCGAAGTTTCTTTCTGTGCTAGGGGCCACCCTACGTATCATTCTTGGAGCATCAAATCAAATTTCTATAAACACAGCGCGCTATATACGATTGTGAGCGCTAAACGACGACACGTTGAACCTCCTGTCCGCTCAACGTCACATCGAGTGGAAGGATAGCCAGCTATATATCGTTGATCTTTCTGGATTGACCGAATTGGCATATCTCCATCAGCATTACAATAAGTACCCTTCCTTTCCCCCTTTCTCAAAAAGAGCCATGTCCCTCACAACTCTGTTCGCTGAATACGGAGAGGACAACTGCAAGATCTAAGATGGCTTATAAATGATGGCTTGGACCTAAATCATACGATCTCATCGCGAACAACACCTCGTTCAGCCCGGCCCGTCCTTGGAACTTGGGCTCTCCAAAAATGCCGCCAGTTTCAAATGCACACGTGGCACACGAAACCAAAGTCTCGAAACGAAAGATGGCCCCTTTTCAGACCTGACCGATCCTGACCGGATGCTTTCCCGCTTCGGGTCCATCTCGGTCCGTCCCAGTCGGAGCAGGTGTGGTGGGTGAGGTCTCCGGAAAAAACCAAGAACTCGACCTGCAGGTTCCCACCAGTGCACAGTTCCAAGACCACATAGTGCCTCGGCGGAAGCAGGAAAACACATGAAAACCGTGGGGTGAGCAGGAGAGAACTGCTGCTTCGTTGGGGTTTTGCAAGGTCACCTGGAATCTGGAAGGTGGAACATCTGATTGTTTCACAGCTTTTGAGTGATTGGATGGGCCAGAAAAGCACACCAAGCGCCTCAAAAAATCTGGCCAGAAAGTAACAAGCTCAGAATCTCTGCGCACGCTGTGTGCTTCGTCTTAGCATTGTGAAGCAGTCCAACCCGACGCTTGGATGAAGGACCGGGAGCTTCTCTGATCGACCGATGCTGAGAGGCACCGAAACTTGCAGCTCCAAACCGTCGTTCGATCGTTCGACAGCCGGTCATTCAACAGGCCGGGCAGGTTCTGTTTCCAGCAGGAAGAATCCACTTTTCAGTGGCACAACAGTGATGTCCGGCCTCGTTCACTAAGCTTCGGGCAGTTGCTCGTCTTGCACGATGGCCAGCACGTTCACCAAGTTGGGATGTCGTAAGTCTGGGCAGCTGGACGTGGGACGAAGCCGTGACGATAAGGATCTTCCAGGCCTGTGAATGATAAGGATCTTGAGTAGAACTGCTGCGCCAATTGGAATATGAATAATTGCACTGACTTGGCATGGTAGCAAAAAGAAAACAGACTTGTGCAGCCAGGCAGGCATCCGTACAGTTCTTTCACTGAAGGGTCACATCTGTGCTAGCGGGAGGTGACCAGAACATCGGCTTGGGACCCTTCGGTGGTCCCTCACTCTGGTCGCAAGAGGGTCTCGCCATATCCTTCGAACACTGGTGTTGCCCATCAAACCGGAGACACCGCTGCCTGACTAGGGAGTTAAGGCTTCCTGAAGGCACCCAGACTCTCCGCATACGAGTCAGACCTTGTGGAAACATGTCATACTAGCTCACTAGGAGGTCAGTTCAGTGAAAAAGAAAATGTACATCTTACCAGTTCCAGCTCCAAGAACCTCAGCCTGCCACAGTGATCTGATGTGCCCAGCTAGCTTCACGCTAGCTAGCCTAGTCACCTCCTGCCTCGGAAAACGGCCAAAAAACGCGTGTCTTTCAGTCAACTCACCGAACCCCACCTTGGATGAATTGAGATTCACGACCACGCCCTGGCAAAAGATCCTCACTCCCAGCGGCCGAACTGGCGCGGCGTCGCTTCGGTCGGAGCGGCACACCACGGAGGGGCGGAGGGGACGAGATGACGTGACCGGTGGACCGGCCCGACCAACCCGTGAGATACATCGACGCAGTGACATCACTATGACACGGAAACTAGCCACGAAACGCCACGGAAACTGGCCCAGATGGTTTTGCAGCTACAACGGCCATCTGCCCGGTTTTAGGTGTGGAAGCGGACTTCTTGACCAGGGTGGTCTTCTATGCCTTGGGAGGGTGACCCTTGGGGTTTGATGGATCAACAGGTGACTTAAGCGTCCTCTTGCTCCAAGTAGTAAGAATGCTCCTAGTAGCGATGCCAGGAGCCCCTATAGTAGCTTCTTGTTCCTAGTAGCGATGCCCTTTGCTCCTAGTAGCTTCTTGCCCAGTTTGATTGATGGAGTTTCATGTTCAACAGGTCATTCTCATCATCAAACTGGTTTGTATGCTTCTTGAAACAGGGCAATGACCGACAAAGCAATGTTTTCAGCTATCTACTAAACCTAATCTAGCTGCTAAGTGGGGTCCTTTTCAAAATCAGGCGATATCTGCGCATATCTGGTCCACATGATCATGAGTACGTAGAGCCTATAACTGCACACGATCAGTCCGCTCCCCACATCTCTCTCGGCGCGGTCGTTCGGTCGTTCAGTCGCCACATCTCCTTCTGTTTCAAGACCTTCACCGCCACATGGCCTTCAATCCCATGAACTTGGCATCCTGAAACGATGCACGCACTGCGCGAAGCGCAAGTGCGCCCGGCTGCGGGGCTTCCCGCCCTCCCAACATCAGGGACCAGTGAAACCAGTAATACAACCAATGTTCTTGGGTATTTGGGTCAATGATGTTCCTCCCGAAAACGATGGGGCCCAGGGGGGCATGGGGCGGAAACGCAGAATAGTATGGCCGGAATAAAGAGAAATGATTCTACTTATTATGACCCGCTGGAACATTAGATGAGATGAAAGGAGATGAGATGTGGAGATTCATTGACACACCTCAAAGAAGGTCCTGCCCTCAGAACTTGCGAGAGTTGGGTTTTGCCTCTGTGGCATTCATGTTCCTTGCAGTGAAGCCCTCAACCAGCACCTCAAAACAAGGATCTGCTCTGACATGTAGCTTCTAGATCCACTTCAGAAAAGTGAACCAGTAAACACATTGATGCCAAACATGGTTCCCAGAACACTGAGCCCAATAATCATTCATGATGCACCCCCACACACAAACCGTGTTTGCTCAGACTTCACCAGAAACCGACTCGACCGGTCCACCTCCAGTCATGTCCATCTGGTTCTTCTCCCCTCCAAGGCACGAAAGACGAAGCTGAAGCTTCCGGCGCCCAACCTGGCCCCCACACCGAGGCTGTTGCGTTGAGCACCCGAAAGAGACCGGTGGCCATCGTTCACCGTCGCTGGGTGACCATCGTTCGAGCAAAGAAACCCTGGCTTCGAACGGTGGTCTAAAGTAAAGGCCTCCATGAAGGGCCGCGGTGAAAAATAGGGTTCCACTAAAGAGAAAATCAAGCTCGAACGCACCAACCTTTGCTCAAAGGCAACAAAATCTCAAGCGCAGTCTGTGCTCGGTGCCTGTACCAATATGTAAGTATAGAAATGAAAGTTATGGTTGTACGATGTTGTATGCACTTTGGAGATCCTTTGAGCAATCTGTGAAATAAAACCTATCACCACCAGTCGCTGCCAGAACTCATGCCCTTCCCGTCATCGGTCGTCCGATGATCCCTCTGCCTGTACTGTAGCTTCTTGTTCCTAGTAGTATGGCCAGGAGCTACTAATAGCGTCCTTGCTCCTAGTAGCGATGCGCTTTGTAGCTTGTGCCAAAAAAGATCAAAAAAGCGCCAACTGGGTCCTCCCAACAGTTCGTGGACCTGCCTCAGGACCAGAGTTCCGCTGAGCGGGTTCAGAAGCGATCTAACGGAAGGGTTTGCGTGGGCACCCGCACCCTGATGCCTTGCTGAAACCCTCTGGGTCTGTGTTCGGGACCGAGCCAGCTGGCTGAGACGCTGGCTGAGACGCGTCTCAAAACCGTCTCCCTGTGATGCTCTGCTCCCTGTCTCCCCATGAGAAATGACTGCTGCCCCCAGGCCCGGTGGGCCCGGAGGTTGAACGAGAAATCAAGCCAGTGGAGTGCTTCGGAAACCCCGTGCCATGTTCTTTCCCTGCGGACACCGTGAAACCTCATGTGTGGACACTTCTGAGGATTCTTTGAAGAGGATCCAGGGTCACCAGCACTGGCATGGTGGAAAGGAGTCCAAAAAGAGGCCTGGCACAATGAAACTGAAATGGGAAGAAAGCTGGAAGGAAAAAGGAAAGCCGAGCTGGTTTCCAGTTCCCACGAACAGAAGTCCGGAGGTACCACCACATGCCATGCGTTCCCCGATGCCGCAATTCAGTCGTGGGATGTCGGAGAAGGTGTGTTTTGGGGCCTCACTGGACCGGCCGAAGCCGGCCGAAGCCGGAAGCATCGTGTTCAACGACAACTATGCCGCAATGCCTGTGTTGGTAGCTTTGGCCAAGTGTTCCAAGCATAAACCACAGAAAGCAACATGGATTTAAACCAACTTGGCGATTTCGCTCCATCTTCGCCATGACCACGGACGTGGCGAATTCGGAGACGTGTCCGAGTCGAGCCCCCGGACGGCTCATCGCCATCCAGTGCCAAGGGACTCAATGCCCTCACAGGCCGCCAGTTGATCTGGAATGGTCTCATCCCCTTCCATGGCAAGGACGGCTTCGGATGGCGACCTGTTTCGGGCGATGACATGGGGACCCTTCGCTGACCTCTGGGGACCCGGCTTGTGGGGGTCAGCTTCGTTCCTCGTTCTTTGGAGGGGAGTGAAAGTCTGGTTGGGCTCAATCTGGGTGAGCTTTGTTATCTACTACTGGCGTCCTTGCTACTAGTAGTAAGGCAAGCATCCTTTTTTATATAGTAGCGTCCCGTCCAAAATCGCTCCGTTTCATCGCGAACAATGCGGGATCCTTGCTACGAAGGAGTAGCGTCTTTGCAGCCGATGCTGCCTGGCTTCCCCTTGTTGTGGTTGTCTGCTCTTCTTGAGCCGCGCTGTCGAGGGTCGAAGGGAGTGAGTACCCAGTACGTACCCGAACGCGTGGACGCGCGGGTCGTTTCGGGAGGGACGGGGGAAGGTGTGTCTTCCGCATTTGGGTCGTATGCAGTAGGCCCCAATAGATGTGATGTGACATAGAAAGGTAGTGGCAAAGGCGAAACGGTGAAAGACTACAAGATTATCAAGAGCTCATATGTCATAGGTTTACATCAAACGCTCAGAACCTGGAACTGAGAGAGCTCTCAACAGGTGAGGAAACGACTGGGTCAGGTGAGGAAACCGCTTGCATGCAACCGTTTGATAGGCGAATGACACCATGCAAACCAGTCCATTCTTTGATGATGCAAGTCTTTGACGCAACTCCTCAAGTTTGCATCACCAGGTATAACCCCAAGCCCCTCATGCTTCGCTTCGCATTCCAGACCGCACTCAGAGGCTTTGGATCCTGCCACAGGGCGTCTGTTTTTGGACGGATGAAGGCTCTTCAGCCATTGGAGCGCAGCAAAAGGAGCTCATGCGACACGGCCAGCAAAGGACTTCCGTTTGGGTTTCGGGGTCCGGATGGGTCGCCCAGATGGTTTGGTCGGACCAACAAGTCTGGCTAGCTGGCTAGCCACCGGCTAGCAAGGTTTGAGGACCAAAGTTGCCAAGCATGGATTCCTCAAAGTGTTAGAAAAAAAGGAACTTCCCAGAGTCCCAGAGTTGATGTTGGAGTTTGCAATCATAATTTGTCGTCATGAACGGAGCCTTCGCTGATCGAGCTGACTCCAAGGAAGAGCTGGCTCCGAAGCCCGTTCCGCACGTGGAGGGAACCACATCCCACGTGCTTTAAGTGTTGGTCAGTTGAAACAACTTCAAAGGGTTGTCTCCAAAGAAGGCCACAAGAAAAGATTCTTCAAAGTTCTCTCCAAGCGTGAGGATTCAGATTCGCGCTACGCCAACACCTGTGGTTCTTTGGAGACATCCAGACTTGTGCTACACAAACTCACTCAGCATGTTGCTGAGCTTCAGAAATCATCTGCACGTGGAGCATCCAAAGCCACGTCCTGGGATCCATTCGAAAACCAATAATCCCATCTTGGGATGACCTATCTTTGATAGGCTATCTGTCAAACGATGCGACACGATGCGACACGATAGGCTATCTTCTTGCCGAGATGCGACACATCTTCGGGTGGGAACCGCTGCTTTCATACGATAGAAAACTGGTCTGATTTGGGGTGTTCATAACTGCGACTCACTATCATTCCACAGTTCCATTGACGCCGGGTTGGCTGGGGTGTGTAAAGAAATCGTTCCACGACGTGAAACTGACCTCGAGAGATGTGCGACAGAAAGCCTTTCTGCCTCTGCTACATACAGGTCATGTCCAAGCAAAGTTCTAGTGCTAGAAAGAACCTCACATTGCACATCAACGACGAGCTTCCTCCACAGGGCTTTTCAAAAGAAAGACATATTGCACTCCAACAAATACTTAAATACCTAAAACCATCTAAAACCCTGCAAACCCGCTGCAAACCCGCTGCAAACCCGCTGCAAACCCTGCCAATCACCAAGTGAATGTCAGCATGGAAAGAATTAAGACCTTCTCAACGAATCTCTGGTGGCCACCAACCTGGGGTTTCCGGCCAAGCTTGCAGCCTCGCCCTTGGAGAGGGCCTAGCTGTCGCCGTTAGGGTCGGATGTTTCGGTGAAAACATGCTTACAAAGAGGTGGATCGCTTCACCAAAAAACACACCAAAATAACGGAAAAAATCTGCTCAAAGGTCTCACATGAGGTCTCCAGTCTAAACAAACCTGGTACCACTCGGTGAAACCTGTCTGGTGACAACCGGATGCGTTTACCATGGGGCATGATTGGGGATGATGGAGCCGTTTCTTCAAGATGCTTTTTTCAGAGCAAGTCAAAGCACGGAGATTCTTGTAACTTCTACTAGTAGGCTTTGAGTATTGAGTCACCTGAAGATGACAGCCTATCAGAGGTTCATATGAGGAAGATGCGAGGGCAGGCCTATATAAAGCTATGAAGCTTACGTCGGTCACCTCCAAACGTATCCAGCCCCGGTCCATCCCGGTCGTGTCGATCCCGTGAAGTCGAATCGGCCTTCAATCGGCCGTGGTGAACACTCGCACCAAATATCAAGACCACCACCGCTCGCTCTTTCGTGTTCACCACTCTTTCGTTCTTCTCCACTCAAACCCAGCGTGTTCCACTCGGCCTCAAGGTACTCGGCGAAGCTCGGATTGATGCGCTCTTTCACCCATTGCAGAGTTGTCTGTGACCTTTGAGGACCGACATCGAAGGACCGGGCAGGAGCAACCCGGTGGACCGCGAGTTCAACTGGCAGGACCGGGCAGGACGACTGTTGCGCCATGTCTTGCTTTCGAAAAAAAATTGACTTGCCCCAGCGAACTGATTGAGACATGGGTTGTCATAGGTCTTCATGCTTGAGATATATCAGTGCTCCCCTGCCAAGCATGCCAAGATTTCGGAAATCAGCCCTAATCAACTCGAAACAATGGCAAACCCTCCTGTTCTCTAGTCTCTTGTAGATTCAGTGTTCCTATATAAACTTAAGATGCTTAATTCTTGGTGTCAAAACCAAATCGATACTTTGGTAGTGTGCCTTCCTAGGCGCAGGGACACCATGTTGGTTTCAGCTCAAAGGTTGCATGGTCCGACGAGTGTCAGGCTGTGTTTCATCCGAAAAGGACTGCTCTCACCTTTTCCGCTTGGCAATCCCGGCCCCTGCTGGTCAGAGGGCAACAGAACGTCTGCACGATGCTCGATGAGCAGCTTGCATTTCCTGACTCGCAGAGTCTGCGATCTCTTCCTTTCTATGATTTTCTATGGGTCACAACCAGGATATATATGAGTGACATGTTTTTTGAAAATTCGTCCATTCTATCTACTCCAGGATATATATACTTGGTTGATCTACCTGGAAGGTCGTTCGCTACATGGTGGACCAGGGCGAACAAGGTCTTGACCGATCCCGATTTATTTCTGGGGTGCGCCCCAGTTCGTCTCACAGGGTGCTTCAACTCCAATCCAAACAGGGTGCTTCTCTCAGGTCGATCCCCACATTCCAAAAGCTGCCCTGTTGCAGATCGGTGTGGGCATGGGGGCCCGTGTCAAACGGAAGACAGGACTCCGGCTGTCAGGGCTGTCAGGGAGTCTTCTGTGTCTGAAACCCCCTCGAAAACCGAACCGAACCGAAACCCCACCCGTTTCAGCATCCTTGGGCCTGACGGGTTGGACACCTATCAAACCCCCACCGACGGCAGGGGGAATGAATCGACCGGCTGGCAGCTGGAATGAGTCGAGGAACTTCCTCCTTTCGAGGCCCTTTTTCTAATGTGACCCAAGTTAGCAAAGCACAGATCCTGGAAAAAGGAGTTAACCAGGAGGGTCGACCAACTCCACACTTTCAGAGCTTTCAGTCCGCCCGGTCATCTGTCGTCCTGTCAGCTCCCCGCATGTTGAGGGCACACACCATGATGGCGGTCTGCCCTTAGGTGGTTTTCACACATGGACCGGAAGATCCATTGCAAAGCCAGCCATCTGGTGGGCCATGTGTCTGAGAAGGTTTGTCTGAGAAACGGGTCAGCTTGCTGACAGTCTGTCCCAAAATGCCACAGAGAGACATTCTAGCACCTTTCACAAACGCTGCTATTGAACCAAAATGACTGCAGTGATTATGTAAGGTCCCGACCAGTGACATCTCGGGCATTCACCTGGTGGCTATGTCACCAGGCAGCTGAGGAGGGGCAATGGCAGCATGAAAGACAACTCAAACCAGCAGCTTCTCCCCGGCGCGGAAAAAGAACGCAGGTTTGACTCGACCCAGAAGTGTTTGGAGCTCAGAGAAGTCTTGGGGTTCAAGACCATGTGGTCTTGAAATTGCAAACCTTGAAGTTCTGGGACATCTCTGCCAATCCCCGAATAAAAAGATAAAACTTACAGTAGCACTCCTAGAATATAATGTCCCACCAAAAGCAGTGCCCGAGCTGAGGAGAACTGACCATCTTCAAACTCGAGGATTTTCACTTCCCCACTACTCGTCACACATCGCCACTTCTAAGAAAACTGGCCAGAGGAGGAGAGCTCCCAACAGTCAACCGTCAAAACCTCCGACGGTGCCAACGATCCTTCCCAGGCGTTCAACAAAACATCTGTCTTCTTCAGCCACCAACTCCCATTCGCACATCCACTCCAAGCACAATCCAACAGAGGCCCCCACTAAAAACACTCCTTCCCTCCGTCTGATCCTGATGTCCTTCCTTTCCGTCACGTCCTCCCACCTCCTCCCACCCTCCAGTGAGAGAACACCCGACCTCCGCGCCCGTCTCCAAGCTGTCCCGGAGCTCCTGGAGGCTGTTCGGCCGTTCCGAGGCGCAGGCCTCGGCGATGCGTTGGATGTTGGGAGTCTTCGATATCTAGGGACGTGATGTGAGAGGATGAAGGTGATGGATGATGGCTGATGGTGCAGATTGATGATTGGTGGTGGTGAACTTACACACACTTCGAACTTGGATTTTCAGTTAATGCAATCTCCCGAGGGTAAGAAAGGCTCAAACGGTAAGGTGAAAAGTCAGCGCAATTGTAGATGTTTTAACAAAAAGTTTTCCTGCGTGACTGCGGCAAATCGGCGGCTAGTCTGCTGAACGATCGGTCGGCGCGGCCCAGCTGCGAAGCTGCACTGCAAGGAAATCCGCGGGTTTGGGGGAGAAAACATGAAGCACCATGGAAGCAAACCAATCAAATTAGACAGCGTGGTCAACAGTTTTTTAGCAGGTACACGGTCAGACGTCTCTGACCGCATCCCATGACATCACTAGCTTCGTTGGCCAGCGTCGTGATGTCATGCGCTGGCCCCCTGCTTGTGGAAGGATGGTGGTGGAAAACCCTTTGTCCAGGGTGGGACACACACACACACTGTAGGTGCAAGAACTTCGGAGCTTCAGCACGCAGCATGCGTGACGCTGCGTGCCAGGACGTAGTTTCGCAAAGCCGGTTTCAGGGGCCTTAATCTCTATCCACAACCATCTGGATACAATTTCAGGTCTGCACAAGCCACCAGGGTTCCCAAATACGAATTCTACCTGTTTCGCAAGTGCCTTTTCACTGGTCTTAGCAGGTGGTTTTGGAACAGCTGATGCTGCTAATGCTGAAGGTGCTACTAAAGGTCCACCACGTGCTTTCTGCAGCTCCTGTCCCGATGATGTCAATGAATGTTGTTCGTGTGCTCCCCATGTCCGCGGTGGTAGACCTGGGGGTGCGTGCGGGCCCACCACGTCCCAGCCGCTACTGATGATGCTGCTGCTGCTACTGCTGCTGCTGCTGGTGATGATGGTGAAGGCGATGATGATGATGATTATCATTGTTGCTGTTATATGCTGTTGTTATGAAATTATGATCATTATGATGGGATATGATGGGTGTATTTTCACGGGACCAAAAAGCTTTCAGATGAATATTTTTGTAAACTGAGGAAATCGGTTGTGCTGCAGTGCAGGGGGTCCAAATGTATTGGACAGCACCCAAAAATGCCTTCATTGGATAAATATATGGACTGGGGAAGTCAGTGTTGCCGCAAGGTTTCCAACTGCATTTTACCGCCCAAAAATGCATCCAAAAGGATGTGGGCTGGGGAAATCGGCTGGGCTGCAGGGGTTCCAAAATTGGTTTTACAACCCCCCCAAACATACATCTAGGTTGGTCCCAACGAAAAGGTCAGCAGCTGCAGCATCGACTAACTGACCTTTGAAAAGCCATTTCTCATCCCTGCCATTCCATGCCCTCCACACAGACGCATGGAAAATGCATTGGCATGTGTGCCAGCACTCGTGTGACGAGTGCGAACATGCGTGTGACGCAACAGCTCAGTTCAAGAAGGGTGGATAGAGTATCCTTGTCAGCCGGTGTACAGGAGGCAATTGCTGGTCTAGAGAAAAGGCACCAGTACTCGTAGCATCCAGTAACAAGCTTGGCGAATGAGGAGCAAGGGCATCGCTACGAACGGAGCGATCGGACGCTACGAACGGGCCTCCATGGCTCAAAGACCTGGGTGAATGCCCTTTGTTACGTTCGTAGCGTCCTCTTGTTCCTATAGTCGTCGGTCGCCCTGTGGCGGTTCACCGAGATGTGGTATTTGTCGTAGCGAACCAGCGAACCGTGCCCGAGAGGCGCACTTGGGGGGTGGCGCAAGATGCTGCGCGCGAATTCAGACGCCGAAAAAAACGTTCAGACGCGCCCATTCAGACACGCCCGTTCTTGGACTGTCTCTTCTCGCAAGTTGTTCGGATGGCTTCAAGCATTACAACCACTGCGTGGAACTATTGCCAACGGGTCGCCCACGACTCCAACAAATGCCACGTCCACCCTGTTCGCCGCACGTCTTCTTGGGAGGGACACCTTTGTCTTTCAGGTGGTGATAGGGGCTGCGTCCTTCGGATCCAGACGCACGCGATGGGCACTGAGGTCACGGACTCTCAAGAGCTTTCGATTCCTCAGAGCGAAAGCTGGGCGGGCTGAGAAACCAAGAATCGCAATGGGCGGACCAAAACGACATGTTTTTCTCATGGCAGAATCCAGTATGCCGTCCGTAACATGGTACAAACCATCGCGATATCCTGGTTGTAGGCCTGGGGCAACCTTCATGACATAGATTGGATGCTGTTGAATGGATCCTTCGGTGACCAGCATTTGCGCGAAAACCTCAACTGAGGTATTGCAGCTCTGTGCTGGCGACGTTTTCTTTCTTTCTTCCTTCCTTTCTTTCTTTCTTCCTTTCTTTCTTTCTTCCTTTCTTCCTTTCTTCCTTTCCTTTCTTTCTTCCTTTCCTTCCTTTCTTTCTTTCTCTCTCTCTCTCTCTCTCATGCAGAACCACATGACTAAGTAGTTGCCCTTGCTCAGCAAAAGCCACATGAATGACCAAGTAGTTGCAATTGCTCAGAAATCTACTCATATACTTCCAACGTCTTCACACATGGAGAATGTCAATCTCCGCTTGCTGCCCGAGACTTGGATCGTGTGAAACAACACCATCTTTTTCCCTGGAAACCGTCAAAACCCTGCTTATATAAGACCCAGGATGCCACAAAATGTATGAAATCTCTTATGTTGATGAGCTGATGCTTCGTTCTTCGTGGAAAACCTGTCCTCCCGCGTTCGCCCTGTGTATGTGCCCATGTGGCCCGTCGTCGAGCAGCAGCTTCTCAAGCACGGCAGGGTCCACAGGAGACCTTGGAGACCGGCCCAGACTGATCGTCCAGCGTTTTGTGTAGACTGTCTTCAACCACATATGGGACCTCAAACGGGACCTAAGACCTGCGCCAGAAAAAGGATGGATCCTACTGGATGACTGCGACCATGGACCGGAAAAGGGCCATGGACTTCTTCAAAACTCCGAACCATTCCGAACCCAAAGAAGAGCGGGATGGCTCAAGTTTGTGGCTTCCTCTGTGGCATCAATGCTTTTAGCAAATCCTTCAGCCGCTGTTCCCGCTGTTCCCCCGGGCTGGAAGATAAACTCCAGCCGATGTGGCAGCATCTCGATTCGGTCAACATCGACCCACACCCCGTGCAATCAGACCTATGCCATCACTGCTCCTCAGGAACCTCCAGCCGCATTGAAGAACCAAAAAATCTGCGGCTACCACAGGGGGTTCCCTTTTTACACCCTCCAGAAACGAAGACTTTGCCACACGCCCTCAGAAAAGCACCACGGACGTCTTCCCTTCCAAAGCACGGCTCCTCGCTTTCTATCGCAGGGACCTATGAAAGGTGCCAGACAAATGTGGATGACCATTGGGGTGTGTTGTTTTGTTTGTATAAATAGGGGGGACCCCCAAGCCAAACCAACGGGTGCTGTTTCTCCCAGGGGTCGAACTGGGATGTCTCACTATCCCATTTTGGAAGAGTCCTCCGTGAATGTCGTCAATGAACCCCGAATTCCAACGCCGAATTTGCTCGATTTCAGGGCGCCAATGTCCATGACCCCGTACGAGAAAGAACCTCAATCTGCCATGATATACAGTATACCTTTATATCTTTGTTGTCCTTGCTGCTGTGTCTTTTCGGAGAGGTTGGAGGCAGTTGGCCTACTTGCAGTGAAAACAGTGACAGGCTGATGGGGATCATTTCCAGAGACTCTGTAACTTGCTCAAAGACTGCAGGACCTGAACTTAAGACTCCAGACTGTTGCAAATGATTTGACAAGCACAATGACGACTTTGCTTTACTTTATGGTATAATGCAAGACAGTTCGGGTCTGGAAAACTGGCTACCCGTAACAATTTGCTCCACAGGTGTTTTTCCATTCAACACTGGCAGTCGGTCACTTGCAAGAACCCTTCTGAAAAGAATCACACCAACTCCAAGTTTCACCCGGAAACCGTGGAAAAACCCTGCGCTCCCTGGCCGCCGGAGCCTCTGGCGCGGGAACGCTCGCCATCAATGGGCTGGTGAGGCTCTTCTTGGACTCGGAGCAGCAAAAGAGTCTGTGACACATCGTCTCAACCCAACCCCCCAATGAATCTTTGGTGGTTGACTGGTGATGACTGGTGGCATGACCAAAAGAAGAACTGTCTAGGTGGTTTCGGAGGTGGCCAAATTCTCCCTGAGTGCCGACGTTCGATCTCAAAGACTATCAAAGTAGAGGAATGTCCGAGGGCTCACCAGGGGTTCGCCCCCTAAATTCTTGTTGACATAGCTAGCCCATTTGTGGCTGCAATGCCAAAATCTCACATGGTGCAGAATTCATATGCTTCACCCTCTCAGAATCTCCAGGTTGTTGTGACAGGTTCAATGTTTGAATATGTTTGCATATGTGTGCATTGTAAATCAAACCTCTAGCAGCTCAGGCTATTCACCTGATCGTCCATAACGATCAGGACTGAGAGTTGATGTCGCTAATCATGGTCTTAAGATATCCCGACCTGGCCACGAAAAGAGGCATCCGCTTACAGAATAAACACAATTAAACACGTCCAGGATCGTCCAAGCATCCAACCGTTAACACCAGGGACCGAGGCAATCCATTCGCCGCAAGGCGATTTGTCTCTCCGGAGAGGTGAACGAACAATTCCCGAAAGCTTCATCAAGATGTGGAGCTTAACCCAGGAGACTTACTGTAACTTCTAAAATTCCTGGAATTAATCTGAAAGTGGAGGGCACATGAGTTCTACATGACCGATTTGGTCTTCGGATGTGGCATCCGATGGCCCACTTCCACCATGATGATTCCAGGGAGTGCACATTCCGAGAACTGCTCTTAACGGGCAACCGACGTGGGGACGAAGCTGGGGCGAAGCCGGCAGTTTGCCCAGTACGGCAACACGCCATCGTTCACGATGCCGAAACAAAGACGCTTGAGCCATGGATGACCTGTCCACCATGGCTCAAGTCACAAGCTTGGTGGGGTGAATTAAGAGGGTCTCATAGGGTGTTCCAGCTTGTGCTGGACATAGCTTGTATCCCAGCACTCTTCAATATTTCAATCTGTCCAAAAAACTTCCCTCCTGCAGCTGAGCTGCCACCCGCTTGACCTCTAAAGCCTGCGGCTTTCCATCCTTGATCTGAAGCACAAAGCGCACACCTCACAGATCTTCGCAGAGTTCGTTTCGCACGGGCGAAATGAATCGCCGAACCAACCGATCTCCCGTGGTATGCTGGGTGCGCTGCTTCGGTTCTTGGTCTGCATGAGTGCAAAGCAGAAAGCAGGATGCTGCCATGGGTCCGATCGAAGACTCGAGAAGGGGATCGTGGTGTCTTTGGGTTGAGAAGTTGCTTTCAAACCCCACTGAAATCGTTTCGGGTCGAGGTAGTGCCAGAACTCAAGAGCTTCCAACCTCTAAGTCATATGCAACTCAGCAGCTCAAAGCTGACCCTGTGTTCGTGTGGTGGCCCAACAGGAAAACGTGGAACACAGATCCTATCATGGACGGTGAACAGGCCAGAAAGCTGGCAAGGATGCTGCAAGTCTGTAATGACTCTTCTCGCTCCTTCTATGCACAGTTCACTATCTGGGCCGGCCCGGCTATCTCCAATCTTCAGACCTTCAAACTGAGACCTCAGCTCAAGTGAAGCGCGGCTTCGCGGGCTAAGCGCTTTCGCTCGCGGACGGACACCCAAGAGCTCACGCGCCCCGTGAAAAAGCATCGGCTGGCCGAACGAGAAAGCAGGCGGTCCGCTTGGCCGCTTCACATTGTTCCTGATCAGTCAGCTGGTCTCTGGAAGCCGGGGTGATTTTGGATGAGTCGAATGAGTTTCTCGCCAGTCGATGAAGGATTTTTAGGGGTGAACGCTTCATCCGTCTCCACCATCTTGGACTGGGGTGTAGTCGAAAACGAGTTCCCCTCTTCGACGGAGTTCGGTCAATACAGAACTGAGTGCTGTGACTCATGCAGGAACACGTCCCTGCCATACTTCTCCCTTAAGATGCTGTTCTGGATGAAGCCAAATCCTCGGCGCACTCCAACAGCTCAGCAGTTCTTGAGCTGGAAAAAGAAAACTGAGAGAGTGAGAAAAGAACTCGGTGAATCATAGCCTTGCGGGACATCTAGCTCCGCGTGATACTCCCCAAGATACTCTTTTCTACTTTAAGTCGTATTTGCCGGCTGGATGACCATACAGTGACATCGGTGCTTCAAAGCCAAGAAGAACGGCGGCGGCACCAACAGCAACAGTGTCTGGTGGACTTGGACAACGCTAGGAATGAAAGGGCCTTATTCGAAAGATTCATCCAAGATGTTTGCTTTGCCCAATGGCAGCTTCTTCATTCCAATTGAAACAAGACCCAGAATGCTCCATCCATTTCATCTCATCAGCCCGGCGGCCATTGATTGGACTGAAGGACTTGATCTCACCCAGGAAGGTCTCTTTCTCCGGAACCTTGGACTCCTGGCCGAAACATTTCAAGCGCGGAAGTTCAGCGAAGAACTCCCGCTTCTCGCTGAAGCTCTCATCACGCTGAACAGTTCCGCGGAATACTTTCCAAAGTTCCCCGTCGCTGAACAGATGGGTCTGGAAGAGATTGGAAGGCCGCAGCTCTTCAGCTCGAACAGTCCGGCCATTGAAGAGAATTGGTACATATTAGTACATTCATTGCTAGGGTTTCCGGGTTGTACTGCAGTTGAGAAATCCCGGTCAGCAGTGAATGGCTAAGTAGCCCCACCAGAACCACCCTGTTCATGAATAATAGAAGTGTGCCTTCGTTGTGGGTCTGCTTGCGGCACTTCAAGATGCCAAGAGATACCAAGAGATACCAACAGATACCAAGAGCATGTCCCGCCAACGCCTCTGTAGGATGCGGCTCGAAAGGAGGAAGTACTTGATCTGTCAAGCGCTTCGTTTTGGAGATCACTGGAAGGTCACTCCAAGTCACTAAAACTAATCAGAGTTAGTCGGTCCTTGAGATTGGTAGAGAAATCGATTTCGCACAAAGGCTGCTTGACTTTAGAAATCCCACCCCTGGCCAAAACTGGAAATGGGAGTGAAGAGTGTTTTTCAAAACTCAATCATGCTCAGGGCTTGCAACTTCATTTCTCAAGCTGCTGCTAGCTTCGCATGTGACATTTGGCGAAGTCTTTTGAAACACACACTGCCAAATCATGCACCCCAGCGGGCCTGTTTCTCTGAGCTTCAGTGCCTGCAAGAGGGCCGCGCCGCGCAAGATGTTTGAGGAATCCACGTTGTATTGGATAGAGAAACAGAATGGTGCGTTCTTTCTAACCTACTTGCGATGGCCTCCAACAACCTAAGAGCGATGGCCTCCAACCTAATAGCGATGGCCTCCAACCTACTAGCGGTTACTAGCGATGGCCTCCAATGCATTATGATACATTATGCAGATGCATATGATAAGTTTTACCGTTCGGACACATGTTCGAAGACATTTATATAAGTATGTGCGCTGTATGCAAGGGGATTGGCTTGCACGCAATGTTGCTGCTGTTCCTGCTGATGGAAACCTTCCGCCCCACTCTTGGTTTTGCGTTTGCAGAGTTCTGCAAATTAATTTGTCAATTTAGTTTCTAATTATATAGATATTGTTTAAGAATGCTCCTTTGTTCACCCCCTTCTTTTTTCAGATCTCACCATGATCCTATGCTCCTGTTGCCAATCAAGTACCTTTCTCTTCAAAAAACTCTAAATATACAAACCTTTTGCTCAGCTGACTCATTGTTGGCTGCCTTTGGCAGCTTGCCCATTTGGGATCCCTTCCCATGAAGAGATAAGTCTTGGCCATGCCTCCTCCAGATCATTCAGGATTGAAAAGGGGGCAGACCTCCTCAATCTACGGAAAAAAATCAATCCGGGGGAGGCCATTTTCCATCCTTACGCACATTTCTACGTGTTCCTTTTCTTACCATTTAAATGTTAATGCACAGCTGAATGTCTGGCTGTAGTGCAGCAAACCGTGAGTGCCGAAGCCAGACAGGAGGTTGCTCTCGTTGTACAAGCAATGTCAGCCACAAGTTTGTTGGATGGTTTCCGACGATTCTTCCCAAACCGAACCGCAAGACCAGGAGACTTCATGGAGCATCTCTGGCGGTCACTGGGGGGAGCCGCCACCCCGACTTTGGCACCACGACCGGTCTGGTGCCTGTGGAAGGCCATCGCCTGGGTTCCGGGTTTGGCTTCGCGCCCAACGGCGAAAGCATGTGAAAGCTGTTGCAGACCGCAAGACCCAGGATCCGGAGAATGCGCATGATGTGCGCATCTGCGCATGGCATTTGGGTGAGTGGAACCTGCGGATTTAGAGATGTGGACATGATACATTGAGGACAAAAACAAGTATCAATGAATATCAATGATCTATCCTCACGCGCCACCGTTGACAGGGCGTACCCGGTACCGTGTGAACCCCCAGCGTCGGCAGGACGTAACCGCCGGTGTGTGCAACGCCCTGAGGAACCCCAACGGCTCAGCTTCACCTTGAACTGCACGGTGTCTCCTGGTGATCAGCTCAGTACCATCCACAGGCCATCCATCCACAGGCCACCGTCCCTTTGATGGCATGGGTGGCCCAGTTGTCCAGAAGGGGTATGGGATTCATGAGACACCAGAATTTCGAAAAGAATAGACCATTCCAAATGTCCAGAGTGATTGAGGTCATTGATTTTTCGCTCATCCGTTAAAATACTGTTCATGATCCTCATGCCTGGCTCGAGAATGTTTTCCACGTGCTGAGAGCTGGACCCACTTTGAAATGTCTCAGCTGCTTCCGGTGAAGAAAAACGTCTCGACCTTGGTGCACGTCTCAATCCGGGCCGCCAAGGCTTGGCATGACCAGCACGGAAATTGAGTTGATGAGGCCTGGCAGCTTCATCTTTGATCTGTTCATCTATTCTACCTCCCCTCCCAGCCACGCCCCTCTTTTTCGCTCTCAAACTTCGTAAAGCAAAATGTACCCTCCGACTTTCCACGAGCCAAGAAAACCTTTTGGGACACGTAACAAAAGCGCCTAAGCCTCTTCAGAACTGGTGGGCTCGAGTGGCAAACACTTTTTTACGCTATATCCACGTATATCCCACTCCCTGTTCCATTGGATGATGGGGCCATGTCATCAATAATTCTCATGGAATGGTGATATGGTCGCCTGGGTCGCCTGGGTCGCACGTTCGGAGCCCGACCAGTCTACCATTGTTCGGCTTCACGACCGACACCCGCCGCGCTCGCAGACCGTCACCGGCAGGTGTCGGTCTCCTCGTGCCATCACCCCATGGTGACATGACCCACCATTGTTCGGGCATTAATTACTACTTGTCTTGGGCCTACCGGCGGACCCCCGTTCTTTTGAAAAGGGAGGAGGTGAGTGAGAGGGGAAAAAACTGGGGATCATTTGGTGGGGCGTTTGAAGGCATCGTTTTTGGGGAGCAAGTGATCGTTTTGGTCTTCAGAAAATTCCCTGCTGTCCCGTGTTCGGAAGAAATGTGGGTATTCCTTTCCTCGGTTTTCGCACTGATACCGATGGTGGATACACCACCGTTTGAGAGGTAAGCCGGCTGGGCTGACCCGGCTGTAGGCCTCCATCGCTTGAGCGCTTCGGATGAATCCGTAGCCTGGCCAAAAACGGAGTGGGTTTAAGAGGTGTCAGGACCGAGAAGAGCCATCGGTTTAAGACGGTCAGACCCGGTGGTTTGGTGGGTTTTAGTGGTCAAACTGGTTGGCTTGTGAGGTTTTTTGCTTCCGGACTAATGAACAAATGAGAATAGAAGCACATCAAAGAGTTCCATGTTTCAGTTGTGGCACTTCGGAATGCTTCTTGCGGTTGAGGTAAAAAGCTTCTTGCGATCCGTCGTTGTGCAAGTGGGACCAGACTGCCACCCTCGTATAACTTTGGGTTAAATGCTCAGCTCAAAAGGCGTTTGCTTCCTGTGTCTCCATGGTCTTTCCGCAATAACCAGGTTCACGGAAAGGGGTTGGGTATCACTGATGGTCACTGTTGATATTAATCTTTTTATATACGACCTTCTTAAAGACGTTCTCTTTGTTTCCTGGGGGAAACGAGGGTCTACTAGTGGTCATCTGTTCCTTCTACCAGGCAGCAACGGTCGATAGTGAAGAGTCCATGTAGAGGTCTGTACTTAAATGCATAAGTTTAAGTGTTCCTTAGTTCTTTTGCACCAGATCATACTGTGCTTGGGCGGGGAGGATGATCCAAGCTGAAGCCCACGTCTCTTCCATTCACCTTCCGTTCGCCTGAGCTCTCATCAAAGGATTTGATGCTCCCAAGCATGTCAGGACCTGAGACCTGAATCAGCACGCACTCCGAGTAACTTGGCACAGGAGTAAAGACCAAGTTCAAGGACTTCGTGACTTCTCAAGAAAAGGTAGGATACACAATATGTCCGATATGGGCATGAAATGGCATGAAAAATCATGAAAAGATGTTCAACTGGACTTCAAGAAAGCTGTCATACGGCCTGATCCCCACGGCCGGAAATGACTCACCAGCACTAGCACCGAAGTGGCATGAAGCGCACATTCCGCGCTTGAAACCGCTGTTTTTATTCGTACGTACGTCGGACGGTGCTCGGTGCCTCTTCGTCTTCATCAGGCGCAGAGATGAGTTCTAACTTCACCGCCTCTGCCTTGTTCTTCTTCACCTGTTTTCTTTTTTTGGAGGGTAGGCCACTAGCTAGGTAGGTAGTAGCTAGCTAGCTAGCTAGCTAGTAGTAGCTAGGTAGCTAGTAGTAGCTAGGTAGCTAGTAGTAGCTAGGCAGCTAGTAGCTTACTTAAGCTACTACCTACTGGACGCAGGATAGCTCACGCTAATGATTTGGTTCCTAGACTTTTAGGTAAATTGGTGAATTGGTGAACCGGTTCACCAGATTCAAGCATCACACTAGTGTCACTAAAGAATCCCAAGGGGCCAAATACCGTCAGCAAGTATTGTTCTTCCTTAGCTTTGCCCATTAGTTTGGGGCCTGTACCATAGTTGGGACATCCGGCAGTTCTCGAGCGGCGTATGGGCTGCCCCAATTTCGAGCTGGTGAACATCATCCAGGCCAAGACTGGGACCTAGTCATCATCTGCTTCCACGAGATTACTTAGAGAGTCTCAAATTTCTCAAAATGCCCAAGCACTACATCGTTGCACACATCTTGCTTTGCCTGCGAAAAACAAAGACATGCAAAGACACGCCCCAACACCCCTTGAATGTTTTTCTCTCCTAAAGCCTAACACATCCTAAGACGGGCATATCAACCTTGTCCTTCTTGGTGGCACGAGGATGCAGTGCCCAGCCTGGAGGACGTCCCTTCAGGGTCCAAATCCTTTTAGCAAACTCCCAGCCAGCGTAAAACCGAGTAACGCCCAGCCGTACCCAGCCGTACATTTCGGCGTGGCCGCCGAGTCGCCGAGTCGCCCGGAAATCCGGTCGCCTTCACCGAAAAACGGAGTTTGTCTCCCAACTTGAGGTCCTTGTGACCTCAAAAGGTCCGGTTGAAACGAGGGACTTGTGGCCTCCTCTTGTTAGTACGGAGGGGGGTAGGCAGCTAGGAGGTATGTAGTAGCTAGAGGTATCGGTAGCTAGTAGTAGCTAGGTAGCTAGTGGTGATTAGGTAGCTAGTAGCTTACTTAAGCTACTAGCATGGACGCAGGATAGCTCACGTTTCCTTGAAGAAGCGCTCGCACTAATGATTTGGCTTCTAGATGTTTAGGGAAACTTTAGGGGAGGCTTCCTCGCGAGAGGATATTGGAAGGGAGCTTTCGCGGGCGTCATCAGCACAAGATGTTCATGGATCTTTAGGTTCATTTGCACTGCATGGGTAAATATATTTTAAACAGAAAAGACGTCCTGGAGATACTACATCAATTCCCATGAGTTGCACATGAAATTCTTCATCCAAATCCAGCATCCGTCTGTGTAAATCGGTCATGAAGCTCGAGCCGGTGTTGAACGTGAAGCTCGACAACAAACTCGTTGGGCTTCCCTGAACGAGACATGTCTACTGTCTGGACATGTCTAGAGCCTAGACAACTTCTTTCAAAATGTCCATGAAATTGGAGGTCATTCTTCGTGCCACTTTTGCACTCACCAAGGCCCAGTCATTCACCAAGGCCCGGTCATTCACCCCGTTTGGCCTACGATTGTCTGGCTCTGGTGTATGGCCAACTCCCTGGAACCTTAGTTGTTCTTTTTCATGGCTGAGTTCACTGGTCCCAAATGGTTGATGTCATGAAAGCCAGGCCTGTCGCTCAGGGCCAACCACTGGGGCCTCCCAACTCTCAAGTACCTTCTTGGAGACAAAGACGTCCCCCTCCCAAGCATCAGATTCACCTAGGGCGGCACACGAGTTCGAGATCGCGAAAATCGACGAAAGCTGAGAGCTCGGCAGTGCTATCTGTGGCACCGACCACTTGGCTTCGGCCAAAGCTCTTAGTGAATCTGTCAAAGGTGGTGAATCGAGTCTAGGGATTCCCAAAACTTGCGAGGCTTTTTGCGGGGCAGCTAAGGACCATTCTGCGCCCCGACCACTGTCCGACGCTCCCATATTATAGGCCCTAGCCCTATAGTCCACAGCATCTCTTTGGCAGTGTATCCACCAACTTCTCCAGAATGTGAAGCGATAAGTAAACTATACTACCAAGGAGCAAAGCTTGCCCAATAGCCATGTCTGCTTGTAGAACAGCGCTATACGGATATGATTCTGTCAGACACAGCTGAAGAATTACCGCATATTCAATCTTGCCTGTAACTTCCCCCTCGAAAGAAACATCACCTCCCGCACAAGTGGCTGTGATGGCTGTGGTACCAACAAATTGCTGAAAAAAAGTTCACGACCATGTTCATCCATGTTCAAAATTGCTCAACATCAACAGGAACGTCTCTGGGCCACCCGGCACAGGATGAATCCAAAGGCCTTTTTGTTGGCGTCCACTTGCAACTGCAACGTTTCCCGGGATGATGGATGGATAGAGATGGACGGCAGGTGCTTCTTGGATGGAAAAACTTGCTGTTCGCTTCGAGAGAGCAAGAGTCAGCGAGACCGAAAGCCGGAGCGAGGGAGTGAGTAGTGAGAGAGAGGGAGCTACGCCCCAGAAGGTCCTTGAGGAGGCAGGCACTGAAGATGTCTCGCTTTTGGTAACAAGGGCATCGCTGTTAGTAGCAAGAGCGCTACGAACATAGCTCCTGGCCTTACTACTAGTAACAGGAAGCTACTAGTAGCAAGGTGCATCGCTACTAGCAGAAAGAGCGCTACCAGTAGCTAGGGCATTACTAGTAGCAATGTCTCAGACATGTTCTTCGCACTTTTGACGGTATGATTTGTTGAGGCAGTCGGGAAGGAACATGTCGTCTTGACTCGACATGTCTGACTCAAACAGAAAGGTGAAGTAACTTCGCAGTGCCCCTATCACTTCTACTCAACTTGAATGTGTTTATGTTCTGTCATTGCTTCGGTGAGCTGAGCCTATAGTGTTTGGAATGTATGCCCCCCATTCGGTTTTTCTTGGACTTGGAGTGGTTCATGTTCTGGGAAGCCTCCCGCTGGTTCAGCCACCCACATGAACGACACCATCGAGGAGGAGACCGAACGCGGGGCGGCCGTCTTTTCGGGAGGTCCTCATCTGCATGAATCTGACCCTACATCTGCATCCCAGCCATTCTTAAAGGTTCTTCATGGTCCCTGCCAAGGCTCCCACCTTTTTCAAGACGCCCACATAGTTCAGGGCACCTGGCACCAGGTTCAAACGGGAGAGTGATGCTGGGCTATAAATCAGCTGTGAGGAGGCAAACCTGTGTTCTGGCTGATTTCAACAACTTGTCAATACCCATCAAAATCCAGGTATCAGTTGGGTGCCAGTCACAGGCATGTCTCATGTCATCTGGTAGTAGTTTTCGCTGACAAATAAAGAGCTCATGAATGGCGCCATCCCAGACCTTCCATCCCATCTGAGGATTCAACGGTCGGCTGTCGCCGACCAAAGAATGCTTGGGTGTCCATAGCCCACAAGGAACGAAGAGCCCGGCTGGAACCTCCTTAGAAGGGACTCTCAGTGATTCGTTCATAATTCGGTGAAACAAACCTGGAGGAGTATGATCTTTTGCTCACAAAACATTACATAAGCCCCTCATCCAATCACCCAATAATATTTGCAAAGCATGACCAAAAAGGCCAAATCCACATGGTCTGGGTCAACAAACCCTTCACAACTCTCGCATTCGAGCCATACACCCACCCCTTTTCTGACCTCCCTCTTCCTCCTTCTCGTCCGGCTCCACCTCAACATAGTGGTCTTCCGTTCCGTTCAGCATATGAAATCAGAATCAGCCCCATCTCAGAGTGAACGTACAAATGTCTGCAGATTCCTCCACTTGAAAGGCAGTTGAAATTCAAGTTCTGTTCATTCAGTTTCATTCATCACTCCAGACACCGTAAAAGGTTTCACGTCCATGAACCAAATCGTCAGGTCATGTTGCCATGGACTCAAAAGCCTCTTTGAACCCGATTTGCTGCTTCTTGATCTAAAATACACTGATGAACTCGTTTGGTTTTTGGTTTTTGGATGGTTTTTTCTCGAATTCCTTGGTACTCTGCTCTTGGGTCTAAAATCGCCAAGACGCTGTCCCTTCCACCTGGACATCCACCGCAGACACGCCCTTCTTACCCACCTGCCGCGTTGGTCGGCGGCGAGGTTCACGCGCGGTTTCCCGCGGAAGCCCGGGAGGGGGGGATCGTGGCTTTTAAGAGGTATGCGTTCAAGAGGTTGAAGATATCTATCTATCTATCTATCTATCTAATAGATTCTGTCTCCACACCTACATGAAAAGAATCTCTCTTGTATTCTGTTGCCATGAACTGAGGAGACTGATACAACTTACACCCAAAGAAGCTTCCCAATTTCCAGACACCCTTCCCCATTTCCGGACTTCACCTGCGGCTTGAAATTCACCTGTTGACCAATCTCCATGCCCGGGAGCTGCTTCCTGATCATGCCGAGACAGTGAACCACACGACCCGGATGGCAGCCGACCGGGTCATGTTTTGCTTGGGTCAAATCGAGCCATCGGATGACGGCTTGAAGCAGTAAGCGCGGCGCAGGAATCCGTAGCAGAGCAGCTGAAGATTTCATCGCTTCATTCAGGGATCGTGCACAAGATCCGCCAGACCCTCCAGAGGTCCGGGAGTGATACCAGTAGTTTGTGTGGGGGGACCAAACACTCAAACCACCTGTGATCTTCATGTTTGAATTCCACGTTCACAATGATCCAAGTCATGTCTGGCTCAACCTCGGCCACTGGGTCCACCTGCTAAGCAGACTCTACAGTAAAATCATACGGAAAAACTCATCGTCACGGATGAAACAAATGTGGCATCTCCCAAGTCATGAGGCTGCCAGTGACTTTTCCAGGCCTGGAAGGACGGTGTTTTCCTGAAGGATTGTGAAGAGAAGGTCCGCATCATGCATGTGGCTCTAGACCCTCCACCAGGCCTGGTCCAAAGCTCATCATTTCACTTGGCCCCTGTTTTGGCTGTTGCCCAAGACTCACGTGGTCATTCAGGCACGCATCACAGCTTTCACTCCAGCGATCAGCAACAAGCCTTCCTTGGGACCAGCTGACGGTGCAAGAAAGAAAACGCGGAAAGAAATGCGCAAATACTCCCGGGCCGTGAGTGTGTGCTGTTTGGAAAGTTAAAGAATAAAGGAGACACTGGGGTCAAAAAATGGTTGACCAACGTTGGATAGGGGAAAGTTTTGTAAACTCAAGGGCCACTGGTAAAATGTCGTTTCCCAGACCAAAATGCACCTATTATATATTACTGTCTCCCCACTTCTTCTTCTTCTTCTTCTTCTTCTTCTTCTTCTATTTCTTCTTGCGTGCCATAGGTACGGGGGTGAGAAAAAACCGTGTGAACTGGACAACATAGGAAAAGTGCAAATTAGAGAGTCGATTTAGTTTCGAAGTCCAGGTTTCAACCTGGTAAAGGCAGCTTTTGAAATTGCCCCTTGTTGGCCGCATCGAGGATTTGAACTAGCTGCTCTCGAGAGCTACTAAAGTCAACTTCGCTATGGCGGATATGGTTCCCAATCAAAGCCAAAGTGTTGTGACTCCACTGTTTGCGTGGTCGGCCAACACGTCTGAATAAAACGTCCGATAGGAGAGGCCGAGTCGTTTTGAAGCCAACACGCCTTCGAGTCTTCAGGGTACGATTGTACTTCCACAGTCATTTCTGGAGATGTGGAGATTTGCTCTTCTGGAAACCTCTGCGTTGGTATTGGCATGATATATATATATATATAGTATATATATATATATATTATATATATTATATATTATATATTATATATTATATGTTATATATATATATATACGTGGGAACCATGCCCAAATCTTTCGTAACCTTTCAATTGACATGCTTCCAAGCGGGAAAGAACACCAGCTGGAATCTCCAGGGTCTCCAGAGCAGAGCATAGAGGAGTTTTGATTTAATGACGGCATTGTACATCAAGATGTTGCTTTTTAAACTGCGTTGCTCCTCTTTCCAGAAAATATCCAGACTCTTCCAAGTTGTCATAGCAGAAGCAATTCTGTTGGAAATTTTGGAGGCGATATTTACTTGTTTTGTCAGGACTCCGCCGAGGTAGGTGACCTCCTCGGCATGTCTCATTTGTGAGCCATCTCGAACACGGATAAGGTTGTGCACGTTCATTGCCAAAACGTTGATTTTCAATATGTTTCGTGGTTCAGCGAAAACAGTCATGATGAGTACAAACAAGAAGGGAGATAGTGGGCATCCCTGTCTTATGCCGGAACTTTGCGTCTTCACACTCGACTGGATGTTCGTGTTTCACCTGAAAGGACAGGTTGCTATAAAAACGTGCAATAATGTTTCTGAATTTGATGGGAAATTTCAATCGTTCCAAGGCTTGCATCATGCGTGGATGGGACACTCGGTACAAGACCAGAATCACATTCTCCTCACTTCTTTCGCTAATGTCTTGAAGTCTTCGAGCGATAAATAAGGCATCAGTCATGGAAAGTGTTTTCTGAAACCGAACTGGGTCTTACACATAAAAGGGTCAATGACTTCAGCTAGTCTGCAACGGACTATTTCAGCGAAGAGTTTGTAGATAGCATTCAATAGTGAAATGGGTCGGTAATTAGCAATTTGTCTGTAGCGCCCTGTTTAAAGATACAAAATTGAGAAAAACTGAAGGGATATGAAGAGAGACTTCCATGAGACCACCAGTCATTCAGCACTGACAACAGGATTTGTCTGTTTTCATCGTCTAGATATTTAAAGAATCCGACAGGGACTTCATCAAGCCCAGGAACCTTGTGGTTTTTTGCTTTTCGCAAAGCTGCATGAAGTTCCCTCATAATTATGGGGCCAAGGTCAAAAGCTAGGTTGTCACGAATAACCGGGCTCTTTGCAACATATGGCGGCAAATCATAAGTTTTCCACTGTACAGCTTCAAGGAACTTCAACGTAATCGGCAATGGTTTCTGCGCGTCTACGTGGTCGAACCGGATTTCCATCTTTATCTTTCAGCTTTGTGAAGCTGGGCACTGTCACTGTCTCACCGCACCATATAATGTATAATAATACATAATACATAATTATATGTGCATTTATGGCAATTCATTATCATAGAATCATACTATATATATAATATATATATATATATACATTATTCGTACTAATACTTAATCATTGATTGTACATATATATAAAAACACAACCACACGCCTTCTTTTCACGCGTTGCAGAGAGTTGGTCAAACTTCGACATAACATGCTCGACTACTCTGCCTCTCGGGGCCCCGACCCCCCGTCCCCTCCGCCAAACCAGGAGAGGCGGGGGGCCCCCCTACACCCCCTGAACATAACACCGCCAAACCGGTGCATGTCCAGGCTCGAGTGCCTCAGAGAGGAAACCTCCAGAGCACTCTATCTTAGAGGTTTGATGAAAAAAACGCAAAAAGACTCCCCACTCTCATTTTCGAACTGTGCGTTTTCCACGTCCCCCTGTCCTGGGAAGCGTACACGACTTCCCAGGCTCAAGCATTGGGGTAGAGCGGAACAACTTTACATAAACATGCAGAGCCGAATTAGGGAGTGTCATATCTGCCAGTTGCGCTAACCCGTCGTTGAGGTATATACGGGCGGTTTTGGAGGCGGCCCACCGCCCCTGGACAAGCAGTCGATCGAAAGATCCGTGTTGGTTAAACCAAAACGTCGCCCCACCTCTCCTGAGGCTGTAGGGTCTGAATTCCAAGGGTGTCAATCGTAATGCCTCGAGGGCATTGCTGAACAGAGTACGCCAGGCATGTGGCTTAGGGGTTAAAAATTCAGCAGGACGGGCACGTTGTTTCCAACGGTACAGGGCTCCTAGCACGGACTCTTCATGCAGGGTGATGCTCTCAGCTGCTCCTTGCCGAGCACCTGCTTTGGTCAATCCTAGCGACAGAACAGCAGGACCTTTGGGAGAAGGAATAAAGATATCCTTTGCTTGCAGATTCAAAAGCTCTCCCGTTCGCAGCAACCAACCCGTAACGACAAGGCCATGAGCGGCATCTCTTTCATGATAAACCAGCCACACATAGCGTCCAAAACCAGAAGTGTCATTGGGGGAGCCCGCCGAGGTACCTCTGCAGTGGACCATGCTTTCAACAACCTCCAGCTACCTGCAAGGCGGCGCTTAAGCCCTGGTTCTTTGTCCTGTAATGCAGCAAGGGTATTGTTCGCTACTGATTTGCTTTCACCCGTTGCCCAGAGGAATTCGAGATAGTCGGAGACGACATGGTCCATGGCCTGAGCACGCTGTGGGAGGGTAAGACCCTCCCCTGCCAGCCAATCCACAAATTTGCCAAGACAAGTCTGATAGCGTTCACGCGTTCGTGGTTGTACCGTCAAGCCCTTCAAGCTTCCAAGCTGTTTCCTGACTTTGATGCGCTGTTGTTGACTACGGCCCTCCATTACTTTTGCAGCCTTCTTACCCATTTCCGTCGAATGGGCCGCCGCGAGGGGCGGTCCGCAGGGTTCTGGTGCGTATCCACATAGGACCACGCACTCACTGAGCCGCTTGCCAACAACAACGCGCCAATCTTTGCCAGGGTTCGCCGGAGTTTCCGACTGGACGATCTTCCACGTGAGAGGGCGTGCAACACAACCAAGGAGTCCACGAGATGTACGAATCGCACCGGCCCTTCATTAAGCTCTTTGATACGCCAAATCAGACTAGTCTTGACTGCTCGGAGTTTGAGGGCATTGATGTGTTCAGGGTCACCAGTCCACCTCCAACCAATGACATCGCGCCAGCGCCACAACTTGCTTGGGAGGGAAGCTCGCAGCCGATGGTACCGCGTCGGCCCGACACCTGCCCTAACAACTTGCGGACCAGGCCTGGCCCCGGTTGCGTCACCCGCGTATCATGGCGAATCGGCACGCGCAACAACAACCCTGCAAGGTCACCAGAACAGCCTGGAACGAGGCGATCGACAATGTCCTGAATACTCAGCCGCGGCATCCAACCTAACAGACGAAACAAGGAGTAGAGTAACGCACAGACAACGGGGACTGACCAAGAATTGCCAAGCAACCGTAGGCGACAGTCATTGTGCTCCGAGCTTCCTTCCTTTCCCTTGACCATACAACGACGAGTATAATCCAGGGGAAACCCCATGATGACTTCACGCTCACGAACAGATGGCACCCTCAGATCACCCCTGGCGTTGGTGACGCAATTTTCTGCACGATATTGGTAAGGTGGGAACCTGTGTGCATCTGCCTTCCAACGGGCAACTGCGTCCGGCGGGCATAGCGTCAAACCGGCCGGCTTGCGCCCCGGCTTCAAAGATGGCCTAGCCGTCGTGAACGTTGGGAACCGACTATCTTCACTCACCCGTTTCCACCCTGCTTCTAGAAAATTATCAGCAAGTATCTCGGCGCTGAGTAGGATGTGTCCTCGCACTGGGAGATCACGGGCTCTCCCTTCCACAATGTTGCACCCATCTTGTGGTAGAATATCCCAGTCACACCAGTAGAGGCGGGGTCGCCTGGCCAGGGAGAGGCCCCCAGCATCCACAAGCCATGGCTCCATGTGGTAGGCGCTGTTCATTGCTTCACAATCACGTTTGTCCATCGAGGCCACATTCTCAATCAAGCGGTAAGTAGGACACCACCGGAACACTTGCTTGACTAAGGCCTCTATCCGAGGGACTTCTTGGAACAAGGAGGACCTTGCATCACGCATTGCACCCTTGCGGTCCGCGTTTAGTCCTGATACTCCTTGACATGGTGGTCCTGCGCCCAAGATCACCATTGAGACTGACGCGAACCTCAGTGACCACTCGGCCACCGTCTCCAGACCAACCTGTGCGACGTCCTGGATTCGGATCACGTCCGGGAAGAAAGACTCGACAACCCTACTGGCGGCATCGTCAATCTCAACTGATATGTAACCCGCGACTGGGATTCTCAAGCAGTCCAAGGCCACTCTCAGAGCACCTATCCCATCAAACAAGGAGACAACCAGGACCTGATCCATCTCATCAGGGTTCAAGACATCTCCACGAGCTTCAGCCTGTGACGCCGCCAACCC